CTTGTCTCTCATGTCAACCTAAACTGAATAGAAAATCGATATATAGATGCTATTCGTGCAAGCAAGTGTGCCTTGCCTGGTGTGCTTAGATTTTAAGGTGTATTTGGACTGTGGTCATTTTTTTCCAGAAGGTTTATGTTCCTACTTTATTTATTTTTTTATAAAAGTTATATAAGAGTAAGAAATACTATTTTTTGTTATTCTGAGAAGATTATTCTTCGTGTTTTGATTTCTTATATCTAATAGTCGGATTTTTTCCCAAAATTCAAGCCAAATAGTATTGTAGTCTTATATTTAAAAATGTAATAAAGTTGAATTCCTTTTTATACTTATTTTTACTTAAAACCCTTTACTTTTCATCATAATGTAAAGACAGATATTTAAATCATCAGTTTCTTTAAAAAACACTACATAATATATGCGGCCTCTCAGACCTCACGTCGGTACTAACGTTACAAAAAATGCACGTCGGTACTTAAAGGTTAAAGTTGAGTTTTTTTATCTTACTCTCACACAAGGATTTTCTCCTGTATGGTGGAGGCAGTTTACATACGTAAATTTCACAAGGATAAACATCCAGGACCGGAGCAATTATTTGTAGGCCATACAAAGACTTGTTCTGTGCGGGATTCGTACCCACGGCTCTTAGTGCTGCAACTCATTGCTAAGCCACTGTGCCGTCGAATACCAGATAAAGAGCTACCATGGTTCATAAAACATACAATGCAATTTTCCACAGTTACTATCATATTAATGTCAAGAAACATAGTGAATCGGCCTGCTGATTGTTAGTGGTTACTGCTGCCCATGGATCCATGCAACCAACTTAACAAAAAATATGCTACAGATGTATTGTCACCTCTGAGTGCTGAGATGGAATACCTCACAGAATTATACTGGCTCTGTATACCTTCCCACTGGGACATGAGTGCCGCACTGCTGCTTTGTGGCAAAGTTAGTACCTACCAGATGGCCACAGAAAAGGAGTCCTGCCATCTAGGACAATAAAATTACCAACAATTTTGAGATATATCTATATATAAATAAAAATTACATTTATATAATAGCATAACTTTTAATTTCAGATCAAGCTGCCAATGAAGGCATTTGATGAAACTAAGATAAGACTATCGATGATATATCTCAAGTCACCTCCTAAATCTACATTTATTCCATACACTGTACAAATATTTGGTACTTTAACATGGAGGACAAAACCAGTAATATATGTTCATTTGTTGCAGGTAATGAAATACATGTATGTTCTGTTAAACATTATAAATTCAAATTAGAAATATTTACTGTAAGTTAAGTGTCACTTGGTGTTAATTTATTGTAATATTATGTGTCTTATAACTTAAGCACACTTTTCGAGTATCAAAATATTTTACGCCTGTGCTTAAAATACTTACTGAATAAAATTTATCAAATAAAGTTTTAATTATATTAGATTAAACAATAAATTAAAATTATAATAAAAGAAGAAAAACAAAGAATACATAATTAGATTTACTGTACAGTATTTTCATTTTTTTTTATAGGATAAGGGTGACAAACGAGCATACAGTCCACTTGATGGTAAGTGGTTGCTGTGGCCCATAGACATCTACATCTATCTTCGGTTACGAATCAAAATGCAGATGTGTTGTTATCCGTGAGGACTAAAATGGAATGCCTCGTTTCCAGTAGTAGGGTCTATAGCGGGTGGAAGGAAAAGGGGAGATCTCCCGCCGGGCAAGGTGTTCTACCCGGGGAGCGGCCAACGCTCCGATTGGTAGTTCGGAGCTTATTCTATATATTATGCTTTAACTTCGGAACTTTGTTAGTGCGATTTAGGCTTCGATGTGTTTCGCTTGTGGCGCGACGACAGCGCCGCCCCATCACCCCCCTGCTCAGACCGGAGGTCGATAGTGCAGTCGAATTGCAAGTGCCAGGGATTGCCTTGTAGTCTGCGGTGAGTCGAGAAGAAGGCAAGTAATTTGCGAGAGTGCCGTGAAGCAGAGGCGAGCAGTAAGGCTCAGAGCCGTGCTGAACACTGTAGCGCAGAGAGTAGCTTGAAGGAACAGGAAGCATTATTATTCCAGTGCTGCGATGAACCTTTTATAAAGCTAGATGGCTTGCAGAATGTGAAGACTGCAGACAATATCTGCTCGGGAGCGAATGAATGGGTTACTTGAGGATGATGACGAAGGTTTTGAAGTTGTAGTTTCCGAAGGTTGTTGGTTGCGTGTTCAGATCACGTCGGGTGGTCACCACTGTGGCGGGTGGAAGGGAAAGGGGAGATCTCCCGCCGGGCAAGGTGTTCTGCCCAGGGAGCGGCCAACGCTCCGAGTGGTAGTTCAGAGCTTATTCTATATATTATGCTGTTTTAACTTCGGAACTTTGTTAGTGCGATTTAGGCGTCGATGTGTTTCGCTTGTGACGCGATGACAGCGCCGCCACAGGTCTCCGGTTCTCTACACTCACCATACGAAACACTTCAGCTGCTATTTTACGCAGGTATTCTGTGAGAGCGTGGTCCTTCCCCGGTCGAGCCGACCCATTCGTGCTACAACTATACTACTAATACAGCTGCAGCACACCTAAAAAAAAGTTACCGACAATGACATACATAATTATAAGTAATATAAAGTATATTATCTGTTATATCCTTATATATATTTAAAGTATGATCTACGTCTTTGTGTGTGTCTGAATTTTATTAATATTAGGTTTTTCACCTTAGGCTATTGCAGTATACACTTCTCCCACTTTCTTTTTGGCTGGTAGAAAATGCGATATGGCATTAAGTCCGTCGTTATGTACCCTTAATTTCAAAAAAAGTGTCCCAGCTAATGGGAAAGGTTTTCAATCATTTCTGAGGGAGTTCTGGAGCAGTTAGCCCACTACACTGCTCTAGTGTATGTTGGTGGACTTCACGTCTTTGAAATATTTTTATTCCTTAGACATGCAGGTTTCCTCACGACGTTTACATTTTCCGCCGCTGCTTAGTAATATTTCATTGGTGCTGGCGGGGATTGTATACTGCTCTTCCACATACTGTTTCAATGACTTTATATTTGACAAACATTTTTTTATAGGTAATCAATACCGCCATGGCTATTAGAGTAAAGGAAACCTTAACATCTGTCACCAATGCTCATCTAGCTCAAGTGCCAATTGACGAAAATGACTGTGTTGAACAATGCTCTTTAGTAAACAGTTAATAAATACGAAACTGCACATCCTTGAAGGTTGAAGGGTTACTTCAAGGATGTGGGAGTGTAATCAAAGTGCCTTTTCTAGTTCATTTCAGAAAATTTATTAAACACTTTTTGAGTTGTAAAGAGTATGTATTGTGTGTATTTAGTGATGACTCAAAATTGATTAAAATACAACTCGGGATGCTGTTAACACACCAAATTAAGTTTTAAATGTATGTACTAATCAAGGTTCATGACGATAGTCGAATGGTGGATGAAATCTACAACTGTTGAATTTATGCAGTTCATATCCTCAATAAAGAAAAAACTAAATTAAAGATTTTATTGGAAACTATGCATTTTATTTCAATCTTAAATAAATACAATAACAATAGATGAATAAGATTTACAACATTCCTTCACCATCCACTCTTCATAAAGTAATATAGGCATTGAAAATTTAATACAATTTTTTTAGTATATCTGTTGGCTAATTACATTATTTATTTATATTTTAGCTATATTGCTTTTGAGGAAGTATCTTGGTCATTTTATAAGTTTTGTGAGTAACTTAATTCATATTCCGAATATATTTTTGGTATCAATACATAGGCATCCCAAAATTTATCATTATTAGCTACAAGCAGAAAAGTTAGACCTATTGATGTAATGACAATTTATTTTAATATACAAAATACAAATAATTAACCTAATTTTAAATAGAATATCGCATTTTATCGAATTATTTAAGGATCTAATTGTTGCTTGCATAGTGCAAATGAGGCTTTATTATAAAAAATCTTGGAATCAAAATTAAGCTAAATGACTAACACCAACACCAAATGTCACATAGGCAAATTGAAGCATGATATATAATTTCGGACAGAAGTGGGCGAAATACTATCAGAGGTTTTTAAATAAGTCTATATGGACAAGTAAGACACTTAGACTTTTGCCATATGACAATATTTTGATTCTTCTTCAGCTAAATGTACAAAAGATATTACATTAAGATATCTTATTGCAAAATATTAATGCATTGCGTTGGAATGATTTTTAACATAACCCCTTATATTCTTTATGATCTGGTAAAAAATTTAATCTTCAGGAAATATTAGATGCAGGTTTGTCAGTCAAGTGGAAAATTATATTGAATGTCAAGAAAATATGGTAATAATAGTCTAACAACATTATGATGAATGTAACTTAATTTAATTTTAGTAGGGAAAGGCTAAAATGTATTATTACGGAATTTCCTGTACAAGTTGATGGAATTTTTATATACCTATATGAAAATTTTATAATTAAATTATGGATTTTGTGCTTTATCAGATAAATCATGTAATGAGAAAACACTATTACATATTAAATTTAAATTATTCTATGCAAATATTTTTTTTAGTAAAATCCATTTAGAATATTTTTTTTCACAAGTGCATTTACTCAGCTTCTGTTTATAGATCTTAGAATTGTCATGGTCTGTCTTGTCACAATAACCAAAGTCTCATAATTAATCACACTCAAAGAAGGAATATAATATATAGTAATTCTTAAAAAATGTATTAAAAAGAAAGCTTCAAGATATAGGATACAGTTACTAAAAGAAAATTATAAGAAATACTCAACCATGGATTCTGGTTTTATAATACATAGTATGTACACAATTGCTCATGCTTATTTGAAATTTATTATACACAGAACATAAATACTAAAATTATTGTGGCATTACAGTTTAGTCTTGAACATTGCTAGATTATATTCACACCACTAGCTGGTTACTTTCATCACAATATTGCTTGTATTAGCTATGAGGTAAATCTAAAGCACCCAAAAGTATAATATAAACACTAATAATATAACTGCGCCCGCTGTGACCTTCACTAGCATGGACTTTGTGTTTAGGTATGTGGCGTCTTTCTTGTATTTCTGTGACATCATTGACAAGTTTTGTGTTTTCGTATCCAACTCTGCAAAGAAAACAAACAACAAGTTATATTATACTCACCAAATGTAAAGTAACTTTCGATAATATCTAAGACTTCCACTGCGTGCATAATCTGCACTACTAATACTTTTCAACATATGAGAGACGAAAAACTGCTCACAGCCCATCTGTTAGAAAGTGGTAATGTAGCCTATGGAAACTTGAAACTACCTTGAAGTAAAGAAGAAAGGCTACAAATGTGTTTTCACTTCCAGGGACTAAGGTTGAATGCATTACAGCATTTAAATATACTGCTCCTTCAAACACCAGAACAATAGTGCACACACTGCTATTTAGCATCAGAAATCGCTAATTTGTGAAACTAAATTTTTCATAAAATAAGTACTATTATAAAATGAGGTTCTTCTGAACAAGACTCTTTAGATAGTAGAGAAATGGCCACGTTCACATAGAATAGAGTGTTAGAGGTAAGTAATAAGAACTGGATACCCCATAGAAGGACCATAGATACAAAGTCCATGAGACAGTATCCTTTTTGGTGTGTTATATTCTAAGTTTATCACCCTTCTATAAATAAAATTGGCAAGTATGTGGACTGAATATTTCAATTGAAACCCAACACATAGTATAGTGTAGTAGATTTAATTGTATGTTATTTGTATACCTAAGGGATGAATGCAGCGAACATAATAAGTTTTATTTTGAAAGATCTATTCTCACGCCCAATTTACTTCAAACTTGGTATACCGGGTGTTTGTGAAACGCTCCCGAAAACGAAGACAGATGATAGTAGGTACTACACCTTAGCACATGGGTCACAAATAAATTTGATCCCGAGGAAAAAATCATCTTTTCACAGCGTTTTATTAACTTTATTAACGCTCTATCATGTTAGTACAGCTAAATGAAACGATAATTTCATAAAAAATATCATGAAAATAGTTAAACAAAAACCAGCAGTGAAACTTAAAAAAAACATCAGCTGACAATAGGGTCAATATCCTCGCGGGCGCCGAACTCTTATAGGTCCAGTCACGTAAAAACGCTGGCCTTGAACCTGGGCACTGAGCAATTTATCGATCAAATTGGTGTTACGAAGTTTCATTTTTCATTTCTATTTTCTTATACAAAATCAAAGATAACGATGAAATAGCGTTTATAATTGTGTGAGTACTGAGTACCCAATTAGGTACGTTTATTAATTTCAATATATTTTGTAGTAAAGAACTGCTTGTTGCGTCAGGGTACAATTGATTGTGTAATTGTATTAAAATGACAACCATAACTTTTAAATTCCATATGAAGACTAGTCGTAGGGATAACACATAAATTAAATAAACGTTGGCGATGTCTTAACATACATAACGCTTTAACGGTGTGTGGAAGGTTCCAGTGCTTCAAGGACTTTACATTGTGCGCATTTGTTTTAGCGTGTTTGATTAATAATTTTAGTTTTTGAGATAGTTCCGTGTTGAATATCACGAGAGACAGTTCAATTGCTTTGTTTATTAAATTATTGTCGTTATTACTTAATATTTATTACTTAATGATATTATTCTTGATGTAACGTTTTAAGTTTCTTGTTTTGTTTTTATAATGCCTAACGCGTACGTTTATAGTGCTCGTGAATACAGTAACATGTTAATGTGCCTTGGAGAAGCTCGCGGGAATGCTTCGCATGCATTGCGAATTTACCGGGAGAAATTCCCGATCGCTTGATATCCAGCTGACTCTCGTCTGATAACAGCAGCATTTCAGCGAGTGTTGGAAAATCGGCCCATCGGTAGCGGCAAGAGGTGGAAGTCAAGTGGCTGTTCACTCGAAGGAGCGCATTTTAGATGTCGTTCGCCGGAATCTGAACCTAGGTACACGAAGTATCGCTAAATTGTTAAGGCGTCGGGATGGAACAAGTGTGTCATACTGTACAGTTCACAAAGTTTTAAAGCGAAACCGAATGCGCCCATACAAAGTGCAAGCTTTAGTTCCGGCGATCACAACCGCCGGCGACTTTTCTGCCGTTGGTTATTAGACCAGCAACAACGTGTTTCTGGTTTCATTGAGTACGTCACCACGGAGGATTTAGAGCGGTAAGCTGTTTCATACTTAATTTTTTTTAAGTAACTTAGCACTAAACGGATTGAATAGGTACATACACGATGAATAAAAACGCATGACTAACCTTGGTTAATTTCATTTAAGTATTTTTTTCATTAGCGGGGAATCGAACCAGTTATTTGGGTTATTTAACCTGTGAATTCGAATTAAAGTGGCTACGTGGAAACAAGCACAGTGGCAAAATAGTAGGTTAAGTAGATAAATTATTAGGTATTGTGGTATGGCGCGTACATTGACCCCTAGTCAGCTGATTGTAATTCAGTAATTACACTGCTGGTTTTATGTTTAAGTATTTTCATGATTTTTTTTATTAAATTATCGTTTTGTTTAGCTGTACTAACATGATAGAGAATGAATAAAACTAATAAAACGTTGTTAAAAGATGATTTTTGTTATCAGGATCGATTTTATATTCCACCCATCATCAAAGGTATAGTTGGTACTGTCGTCTGTCTTCGTTTTCGGGAGCGTTTCAAAAATACCCTGTATATATACCACACTTGAGTCAATAAAGACACCCACTAAGAAAGGATTTTGTAAAATTCAACCCTTGAGGGGTGAAATAGGCTGTTACAACTTGTTAATGATAATTGTGTATTGGCAGTGTACGAATATGCAGTACCCCATATTGTTCCATAGATGTCATAAGAGGCGACAGAGGGAAACTGAAACAGGAGATGGGCAGCAGCATCTTCCTGATAACAATTCAAAATAATAGAAACTGTGGTTGCCAACATGACCAAACGTGACAACTATGGCAAAATGTCCCCAATGAGGCAATTTATGGGGGAGGCCTTTGTTAAGCAGTGGGATTTAATTGGCTGTAATGGATGGATTTTGATTTTTGTTAACGCACCGGATAGCACAGCTCCTCGTTGCAGTACATCATCAATGTTCTGCATCATGATGCGCTGCACATCACCAAGCTGGCCTCCGAGCTGCGCGGTTGCCCCGGAACGCCGTGCCCGGGCGCCGCCCTCGGCATACTGCTTCCTGGCGCGCTGCATCCACGTGTCAAACTCGATGAATGTGTACGGCCTAGTGACTGTATTAACCTAGAATTCAATAAGAACTGCATATTAATTACATAGTCCACCTGATAGCAAGTGGATTCTGTAGATATCTACATATAATCTTCGACTAAGAATCAAAATGCAGATGCATTGTCATGCCTGAGGACTAAGATGGAATGCCTTGTTTCCAGTAAAGAGGGTCTCTGGTTCCCTACACTCGGCCTATGAAACAGCAGCATTAAGCTACTATTTTACCCTGGTATTCTGTGAGAGCATTGTCCTTCCCTGGTTGAGCCGACACATTCGTGCTACAATACAACACAGCTGTAACCTGGCTCTACCACATATAACATATTGTTAACTTACTTATAAAAATAATTCAAGAATCATTGTCGTAGGTCATTATAACGTGAAGTCCGCTATGCCCTAAATGACGATTGAATATTTATTACAATATGATCCACCTTTTGCTACAACCATAACATAGCTGCAGCGTGGCTCCACCACGTACAAAAAGTGGATTCTTCAAGCTATGTGGTCGGTCTTTTAACACTTTTAACTGATCCGTATGGCTACATCGCTTACTAGATTAAATTGCCACAAAAAGCCTTTGGCAGGTTTTGTGGAAGTGAACTTAAGTATATTATATGAAGCACATAATTGTTTACCCCATATCTTCCCGTGGGTGTCGTAAAAGGCGACAAAGGGAAACAGGCAGGAGTAAATAGTGTTTATAATTGTGTGAGTACTGAGATGGGCAGCAGCATCTTCCTGATAACAACAAACTTACAATAAAAAAACTGCGGTTGCCAACCCGCTCGCCAAGCGTGGCAACTATGGCAAATACCCCCCTAATATGAGAGTAACAAAGAAACGGCGCCCAGTCCCCGGCGGCCCCGCTATTCCTGGCTACGGTGGCGACCATGGTAACGGCGGGGCAGGGGGTGCTAAGAATCTCCGGTGGAGGTTCGGTTGCCACCTAAGACGACTCGGCCTGGTAACATACAACGCACGCACCCTGAGGACTGACGAGAAGATCGTGGAGCTGGAAGAAGAGATAGACAAGTTACGCTGGCATATTATAGGATTATCCGAAGTCCGAAGAGAGGGGGAGGACACGGTAATCCTCGAATCCGGCAACTTGCTCTATCACCGGGAGGGCGACCATCTGTCCCAAGGAGGTGTAGGATTTATCGTCCACAAGTCTCTCGTTAACAACGTTGTAAAGATTGAGAGTGGTCGACGAGGGTTGCGTACCTTATACTCAGAATCACCAAACGGTATTCGCTGAAGGTCATACAGGTTTACGCACCAACCTCGGCACACCCCGATGAGGAGGTGGAGGAAACCTCTAAAGCCATGCATTCCTCCAAAACCCAATATACGGTGTTAATGGGAGACTTCAATGCAAAACTAGGCATAAGAGAGAACGGTGAGCTGAAAGTAGGGAAATTTGGAATAGGGCAACGGAACCCAAGGGGCCAGCAGCTGGCCGACTTCACGGAGAAAGAGGGACTCTTTATGATGAACTCTTTCTTCCAGAAGCGGCCCCACAGGAAGTGGACCTGGTCGAGCCCCGACGGTTCCACAAAAAATGAGATTGACTTCATTATGACGAACAGACGACAACTGTTCAGTGATGTCTCCGTGATCGCGAGGGTGAAAACTGGTAGCGATCACCGAATGGTTGGAATGGCACACTGAACCTAAACGTTAAGTTGGAGAGGTCTCGTTTAATGAAGTCAACGCTCCGTGCCCCTCGTGCTCTGTTCCAAAGACCTTTCAGCTCGAGTTACAAAACCGTTTTCAGTGCCTAGAAGACTGCAATGAAGTGGACGATATGAGTGACAAGTACGTGGAAACTGTCCATGCGGTCGGAGCTAAGTTCTGCAAGACCCGCCGCAGAAGAACACAAAAACTCTCCGATCATACTCTCAATCTCATGGCTATTAGACAGACGGGAGATGAAGCTACATTCTTCAACAGATTTGACAGCATACAGGCAACTGAACAGACAGATCTCCAAATGCAAGCAGCGGGACTTACGCAACTTCAATACAGCTTGTATTGAAGAAGCGATCGAGCGAAACCAAGGCTCCAAAGTCTTTGCCAGAGATCTGTCTGCCAGAAAGAGCCAACTGTCAAAGCTGAAGACTGAGTGGGGCAGCATCGTTTCCGGGGCACCTGAGATTTTGAGTGAGATTGAGAGGTTCTATGGGCAACTGTACACGCCATCGTTGGAGCCACACGTAAGTGTGAGTAACGATCCAAGAGCGAGTCTTATCCGACACTATTCCGAAAATATCACGGACGTCAGTCTGGGCCAGATTAGAATGGCTCTCCAGCACCTTAGAAACGGCAAGGCCCCAGGCGAGGACGGAATTAGAGCGGAGCTTTTGAAAGCGGGTGGAAGACCGGTACTTGAAGTCCTTCAAATGCTCTTTAATTCCGTCCTCCATGGTGGCATTACACCGGAGGCGTGGAGCAGAAGTGCGGTGGTCTTGTTCTTCAAGAAAGGTGACAACGCTCTCTTGAAGAACTACAGACCAATTTCCCTTCTGAGCCGCGTCTACGTGCTGTTTTCGAGAGTCATTACGAATCGTCTCGCGAGCAGACTTGACGACTTCCAGCCTCCGGAACAAGCCGGTTTCCGAAAGGGCTTTAGCACCATAGACCACATACCACATACCCTTCGACAAATTATACAGAAGTCCGAAAAGTACAATTTGCCACTATGTCTGGCGTATGTGGACTATGAGAAAGCCTTTGATTCCGTCGAAATTTGGGCGGTGCTGCAGTCCCTTCAGCGGTGCCAAGTTGATTGTCGGTATATCGAAGTGTTGAAGTGCTTGTACAGTAGGGCTACGATTGCTATCCGAGAACAGAACCAGAGTACGAAACCTATCCAATTGCAGAGAGGTGTAAGACAGGGTGACGTCATATCCCCGAAACTCTTCACCGCTGCATTGGAAGACGTTTTCAAGATTCTGGACTGGAAAGGATACGGTATTAACATCAATGGTGAGTACATCACTCACCTTTGATTTGCCTACGATATAGTCCTTATGGCAGAATCGCTGGAGCACCTAAGCACCATGCTCAATGACCTCAATAGTGTCTCCCAACGAATAGGTCTTAGGATGAACATGGACAAAACAAAGATCATGTTTAATGTCCATGTCACACCTATGCAGGTAGTTGTTGGGAGCACTAAGCCCGAAGTTGTTGACGAGTATGTTTACCTAGGACAAATAGTCCGACTAGGTAAGTCCAACTTCGACCGAGAGGTCAATCGACGGATTCAACTCTGCTGGGCAGCGTTTGGAAAACTACAACACATCTCCTCGTCAAACATACCTCAAAACCTTAAAACGAAATTGTACAACCAGTGCGTGTTGCCAGTGATGACTTACGGAACTGAGACGTGGTCCTTTACTGCTGGCCGTATGAGGAAGCTCAAGGTCGCTCAGCGAGCTATGGAGAGGGCTATGCTTGGGGTTTCTCTGCATGATAAACTTAGAAATGAGTATATCCACAGTAGAACCAGAGTAACCGACATAGCCCAACGGATTAGTAAGCTTAAGTAGCAGTGGGCCGGCCATATAGCTCGAAAAACCGACAACCGATGGGGAAGAAAGGTTCTCGAGTGGCAGCCTCGTACTGGTAGGCGAAGTGTAAGGTGACCCCCCACGAGATGGAGTAACAACTTGGTGAGACATGCAGGAAGTCGATATATGCAGGTGGCTCAGGACTGTGCTTTGTGGCATTCCTTGGGGGAGGCCTACGTTCAGCAGTGGACTTATGAAAGGCTGTAATGATGATGATGATGATAATGATGACATAATTGTTTATATTGACCAGTGGGTGTTGTAAGAGGCGACAGAGGGAAACAAACCTGGGCAGCACCATCTTCCTAATAGAAAGGGTAATAATAATTTTATTTTTAATAGGTCATAATAAGCTTTCTGCATTCTGTCAGAGAGCACCATTTGTCAAGGTGGTTAACTTGTGTAACTTACCTCATCTGCCTATACTTCTGGACATTGGCACCACACATTATAGGATATGTCTTAATCACCATGCATATCACAAATTGTGAATTACAGCACTAGAAATCTAGCACTAAATGGGAAAAAGATATATAGATTATAACATAAGTTTTTTTTTTGAATGAATTACTTACTCTTTTTCCGTACTGCTGGTAGAACTCTTGAGCGATTTCTTCTAAGTAACTGAATGCAAGTCGCTTACTATAATTCCTTTCACACAGAACCAAGTAACAGATCTCATTCTCTATTAAATAGCTACAACAAAAAACATTTTTTTTTTGCAATATACATGACTATTTCCATATGGTGGTAAAATGGCATAAGTTGCATAACAATAATATAGATTGCAATTATTAATACAATACTTGCTCAAACATAAATATATAAAATTAAATAAGAGGTCGGAATTAAAAGTAAAAAAAATAAAAAATAAAAAGCAGTGAAACTCACTGGAAGAGGTAGGGTCCAGTCTCAATGGAACAGCGTATCGGTGATTGTGGCCCTAGTTTTCTAAACAGCATTTTTGCTTGGTTTTGGTACTCCAATATATTGCAGCCACTCTGCAAAACGATGTCAGCAAACCAAATTTAAAAAAAAAATAAAAATCGACCAAAAATAAAAAGTACTCAACATGTAATTAGTTGTTAGTGAGTTATGCGCGTTTATAGGACATAAATACATTGCATAAGATTTTCTTATAAATTGAGTGTAAGAATACTTAACTAAATTTACTTTCTTTATCCTTTAATCATATTTACCTGTTCATCTTCTTGCATAGTAGCGGCTAAAGGCAGGCCGTCCACGACTCTAGCAATCATTGTCATTAAAACCATCTTGATATTTTAAGGTCTCTTAATTAATTATACTTAAATAATGTTTAGTTCAATTTCCTCCAGTTGCACGTCTTTTTTCTTCTCATTATTAGAAATCGAAAAACAAACTTTAATACTATTGCCTGACAGCTGTACTATAACACGTAAAACGTCAAAGTTCAAAGCAATTTGACAATGACATGGCAACAACACGTCAGCTGCACAATTTTCGTTCAGAAGTTTAATAGTTAGGCACATAATCTACCAGGCATTACCATATATTTTTTAAATTCATTATTATCAACTAAGAAGTGATTAATCATAATCTCTCAATCAAAAAAAGAAGCAGCCTTTTCCGTTGCTGTTGCAACTGTCTCTTGTAACTAGTTGCAGAAACAGTTCCTTCAGGAACTTCGCCACGCGAAACTGAAAATATTTTTGAAATGAAAACTTCTTTAGAAATGTTGAAAAGAGGAAAACATATAATACATCTATAGGATTTAGCCTGTGAAAGAATGAGATAGAACACAGTATACAGTGTTTTTCTGAAGGTAAAAAATGAATACCGCGTGTGACCTGCACACATTTTTTTAAATAAAATTAAAGTAACAAATGACCTTACAATAAATTTCAAACAAAGAAAGCTATAGATGCGTTGGCATCTCTATGGACCAAGAAGGAATGACTCGCAGCCTGTAATTATACTGTCTATCTATCTTTCAGATCGGAACACAGCAGAACATGCACTAACGATTAGTGGCAAAAATAAGTAAGAGAGTTGTACCTATTCAGACAGATTCGTAGACAGGAAATTAGACCTACCACCAATCACTGTAACGAGTCATCTATATCAACCAAACTAAAATTCTTCTTCTTCTTCTTCTGGTATCTCTCCGACTAGCGAAGGTTGGCAGTCAGCTTAGTGAACTCCGCTCTATTCTTCGCGAGGCGAAACAGTTCGACGGCACTCGCGATTCCTGTCCACTCTCGCATGTTACATAGCCATGACTTGTTTTCTGCGACCGACGCCTCTTTTTCCGGCAATTTTTCCCATCACAATGAGTTTTAGGAGTCGTACCTCTCGTGCCTGAGCACGTGCCCTAAATATGCGACTTTTCTCATTTTGACGGTCTGCATAAGTTCACGCTTTTGGTCGACCCGTCGAAACGTCAAACTAAAATTACGTACCACTAAATAAATTTGAATTGACTATGTAATATTAAGAGATATAATAAGCCCCTGGGTTCAGTTCATCATAATCATTATAGCCCTTCACAAATCCAGTGCTAAACATAGGTCTCCCCGAAAAGAATGCCACAAAGCATGGTTCTGAGCCACCTACAGAATAGAATAGAATAGAATAGAATGATTTTTATTCAATGATTTTCATACCAAAATGATCCTAATTTTTTGTATGGAACATTATTTAAGCTTATTTGCAATGAATTTAATAATACTTTTATTTCTAAAACATTTTCCTTGAACATTCGGAAGTCATTCAATGAATGGGCGACAGTAGGAGTCCATAAGAGCAGGCATAGGTTATATGATCTTTACCATGAAAGGTCCTATAATCATAGCGTCGAATTTAGGGAATATGTAAAAAAATATTCAAAAATATTTAAAAGAGTGTGCTCCATAGCCAAGTCTTTGCATTTGAGCAACAAAATTAAGACGGCTTCCAATAAAATTAAAATGACATGGAGTATAATTAATAGCGAAACTGGTAAGATCAACTCTCGCAATTCAAATTACCAGTTAAGTGTTAACAACAAATTAACTGTATCAGATCAGGACGTAGCAATGGTTTTTGAGAAATATTTTACTGATATTCCGATCTTGACCACTAAGTCACTGAATTCTTCTCCTGCCATCGCCGAATCATTACTTAAACAAAATGTAAATGCTTGCACAAAGAAATTTACATTTCATAAAGTGTCATCAAAAGATATTGTAAAATATTTTAAAACTATTGATGTTAAGAAAACTGCGGATCTGTGGGGGATTTCCGTTAAAGTTATTGCGTCTATAATAGAGACAATCGCGCCTCATTTAGCTATTATTTTTAATACTAGTATGGAATCTGGTGTGTTTCCTGATTTAATGAAGCATAGTAAAGTAATAACTTTATTTAAATCTGGTAGTACATTAGACCCCGCCAATTTTAGACCTATTTCTGTACTACCAAAACTTAGTAAGATTTTTGAAAAAATTGTTCTTGATCAAATGTTAAATTTTTTTAATATAAATAATTTACTTCATAAAAATCAATTTGGTTTCACAAGGGGTCGCTCGACAACTGATGCCGGCGTTGAGCTGATTAAATATATCTTTAATGCATGGGAGAATTCACAGGATGCTTTGGGTATATTTTGTGACCTATCCAAGGCCTTCGATTGTGTTCACCATGAAACATTAATCAGGAAACTTCAACACTACGGTGTAAGAAGTGATGCTCTTAAAATAATTATTTCATATTTATGTAAGAGAACGCAAAAATTTGTCATTAACAATATGAGCTCTTCCGGATCGATGGTACAAATGGGCGTGCCTCAAGGCTCAATTCTCGGCCCCTTTCTGTTTCTTGTACATTAAATTAATGACTTACCTTACATAGTAGGGGATAACCATGATATAGTATTATTTGCAGATGACACTTCTTTAATTTTCAAATTAAGTCGACAATTACTAAAATATGACGAAGTAAATAATGCTATATCTAAATTAGTAAATTGGTTCAATGTTAATAATTTGCATTTAAATGGCACTAAAACGAAATGTAAGAAATTCATGACTCCAAATGTCAAACAATTAAATACTAATGTAATTTTAAATGGGGAGAAACTGAGTCTTGTAGATACCACCATTTTTCTTGGAATCGCACTAGAGTCGAAGCTTCAATGGAGCCCCATATATCAAAACTAGCAAGCAGACTTAGTTCTGCAGTATATGCTGTAAAAAAGATTAGAAGATTGGTAAGAACCAGCGTTGAAACAGCTAGACTAGTTTACTTTAGCTATTTCCATAGCATAATGTCGTATGGTATTTTCCTATGGGGACACGCAGCTGACACTGAAATTATATTTGTTTTACAGAAGAGGGCCTAAGAGCCTAAAGAGTCACTGCGACAAAAATTTAAGGAAATTAATATATTAACTTTGGCCTCTCAATACATTTATGAAAATGTAATGCACGTACACAAAAATAAAAGTAGTTTTACAAAAATAAGTGATATTCATTCTGTAAATACTAGGAACAGACACAAACTAGTAGTACCAGTTACTCGACTCCATCGAGTCAGTAATTCAAATTCAAAGTAATTCAAAGGTCAAATTTTGTAAATTCCAGAAAATATACAAAATTTGACCTGCTCAAAGTTCAAAAACTTTATTAAACTAAGTTTGTATAAAAAGGGTTATTATAATATTAAGGAATTTATGGATGATAATAACCCCTGGAAATGAGGTGATCGCTACCAAGCTATTTCTAATTTGTTGTGTTGTTAATTTGTGTAACATCATGATTGTAAGCTGTTATTTAAAAAAAAGTCCCGCTGGCTTTCTTGCTGGTTCTTCCCAGGACAGAGGTTTTTTCCGAACCAGTGGTAATCAAACAAAAGAGTGACTTTCAATAAGTATTATTTATAATCTATATTGAATAAAAAAGTTTCTGTTTCTGTTTCAATATTGATTGTTATATAATACTTATTGAAAGTCTTTTTTTATTTAACGTTGGTTCGGAAAATACCTCTGTCCTGGGAAGAACCAGCAAGAAACCCAGTGGGACTTTTTTTTAAACATATTGCACTTAACAATAATTTTGTTTATACAATTATTAAATGAATTTTCATAGAACCTGTACGGTGGCGATCACCTTATTGTATACATCGACTTCATGCATGTCTCACCGGGTCGTCATTCCATCAAGTGGGAGCCGCCCTACACATCGCCTGCCGCTACGAGACTGCCACTGGAGAACCTTTCTTCCCCACCGGTTGTCGGGTTTTTCGAGCTATATGGCCAGCCCATTGCCACTTCAGCTTACTAATCCGTTGGGCTATGTCGGTTACTCTGGTTATACAGCGGATATCCTCGTTTTTAAGTCTATCACGCAGAGAAACCCCGAGCATAGCCCTATCCATAGCTCGTTGAGCGACCTTGAGCTTCGTCATACGGCCAGCAATAAGGGACCACTTCTCATATCCATAGGTCATCACTGGTAATACGCGCTGGTTGTACAATCTTGTTTTGAAGTTTTGAGGTATGCCTGACGAGAAGATATGTCGTAATCTTCCGAATGCTCCCCAGCCGAGTTGAATCCGTCGATTGACCTCTCGGTCGATGGTAGGTCTATACCGATCGAGAGGTCGAAGTTGGACTTACCTATAGTCAGACTATTTGTCCTAGGTTAACATAGTCGTCATCAACTTCGAACTTAGTGCTCCCAACAACTACCGGCATAGGTGTGTCATGGACGTCTTGTATTGTCCATGTTCATCTTGAGACCTATCCGTTGGGAGACATTATTGAGTTGCACCTTGAGACACTATTGAGACACACCTTGAGCATAGTGCTTAGGTCCTCCAGCGATTCTGCCATTAGGACTATATCGTCGGCAAATCGAAGGTGAGTGATGTACTCGCCATTGATTTTAATACCTTATCCTTTCCAGTCCAGTAGGTTGAAAACGTCTTTCAATGCAGCGGTGAAGAATTTATGGTATATAACGTCATCCTGTGTTACACCTCTCTGCAGTTGGATAGCCATCGTACGCCTATTGTAAAAACACTTCAGCACCTCGATATACCGCCAATCAACTTGGCACCGCTGAAGGGACTGTGGTATTCCGAATTTTAAGAGTTCAATTAGTATTATTAATTTAAAAGTTCTTCAAATAAAGTAAACAATCAAGACAACTTTTGTATTTTGTGGGTATTATTAAATACTTCTTAATCTATATTAATGACTTACCTTATCTTGTAGGGGACAATCACGATATAGTATTATTTGCTGACGATACCT